CACTACAATTCAGCATCTCGTGGTCTCCAACCTGGAAGGCGGACTGGTCCGACTGCTGCCAAACTTGAGGTCGGCTTCTTCATACTCCTTCTCCACGTCATCGGCTGTCCACCGCGGCACTTTTTCCAATCGCTCCCTGGGAGTGCAAATAGCGCTCGACGTGGAAGGCCATGGGCTGGCATGCGCAGAACATGTCTCGGCTCTAGCACTGAGGGTGATTCCAACACCAGCTTGCCCAGATGCGGCATACTCGGCGTCACCAGAGAGGCGGAGATGGAACCGGGTGCGTGGGTGGAGCGGTGACACCAGCTGGTAGACCGAGTTAGAGTCCTGGAGTCGTGTTTCAGTCAGGCAGCAGATATCAATTCCAAGGGTCTCTAGCGTGCGTGCAACTCCAGCTTGCTGACCGATCTGCAGTAATGTGCGTACGTTAAAAGCTGCACGTTTGAACTGCGTTCCGGGTTGCAGGAGCGAAGATGGGCGACTTTGGGACCGGCAACTCTCTGTTGAGTACTGTGTGGTTGAGTTGGCAGATGTCACGGGAACAGGTTCATCAGTGTAGGTGGGATTGATCGTTGTAGAGGAATCAGGTAAAAATGAGTGTGAATGGTACACGGGAAGGGTAGGTAAAATGTTGGCGTGTGCTTGTGCAGTTGGCATAGTAACATGAGTTAATAGCATGGTAGCAGCAAGACAGCGGGTGAATGGTCGGGTTGTAAGTCCATTGTTCGTCAGTGGGCGAGATATTACCCGGTTGCCCAGGCCGAAGTAACGTACATAATAGAACTCTGGACCAATTGCGACTGCTTGCGACTTAGTTTTAAACGGGCTTTTCTCTAATCGTTGTAATACTGCTGCGAGTCTGGCACCATGTTCATGTTCTATCTCAGAGAAAATAATAATATCATCTCCAAAGACTGCCACTATTTAAAGATCTTCCAAAATCATCAGTAGTAGGCGTCGAAAGGTAACAGGAGTATAGCACCATTCAAAAGGCATCCTCAACAATGCATACTGCTGGCCGTTCACACTAAAAGCTGTCATATGGCGGTCAACTTCTGCCAAGGGAAGCTACCAGTCTGCTAAGCGGAAATCTATCAACGAAAGCTGCTCTGCGTCTTGCAGATTAGAGAAAATTTCTTCCATCTTTGGCATCGGAAATACGTCATGCGCCGTCACTCTGTTGAGCCATCTGAAATTAATGCAGCATAGGTGGGTTCCGTCTGCCTTTTCGTCATTAAGACCGGTGATGAATACGGGATGTTCGTTCTCCTAATGATCTCTTTAGTCTCCATCGCTGCCACTTGTTTCTGTACCTCAGACAAGGTGTTCTGTAATATTCTGCTGTAAACTGACTTATGCTGTCCCCCTGGGATTAATGGTATCCGGTGTTCTATCCAGTTGCAGAACCCGTAATCATCATTCACATCGGTGAACAAGTGCGCATAACTCTTTAGCCCGTCCCGTATCTTGCGACTTGGGCAATCAGGTAAAATATTCACGACACTCATTCGATTAGATTGTCCTGTGCTCATCTCGCTCTAGTCAGCGCCCACAATTACCATGTCCTTTCTCAATTCGATTGTGTCTCCGAATCCCTTAAGAAAATAATTACCGACTATTGTTTCCGGAACCCCCTCCACGACGAACATCGAATGGTTAACAACTGCTGCTCCTATCCTAACTTTCAATCGCTGTGCCCCAGTCACCTTCAAGCGATATCCTCTGATCGTCTTCATTACAGTCGATGACTGAATTAACACAACCTCATCGACATTCGCGTAATGGAAACTCCCGCCCCTGTGTCCACTATGGCACGGACTGATACCCGTTGAATATTTGTGTCGAGACCGGCACTCTCCACCTACTCGGCATGGACAACGAGAAACAACGATAAAAAATTTTGTTCGTACAAAATCGGGCAAAATGACCTATATGGTTACATCGAAAACAGTGATGATCATCACGGCTTTCATGTTCGTTGCGTTGTGCAATTTCTTTCACGGTACCACTCGAAGTCAACTCTGCCACCATCTGTGTCAGCTCGTCTGCTTTTCGCTTCAGCTCAGAAAGTTGGATCCTCTGTACCGTCCCAGGCTCCGAGAAAATTTAGGCCACCGTCACCAGCACCCACCTCCTGTTGACTCCAACTTCGATGTTAATTTGACTCTATCCTGGACTTCGCTGGTAGTCTTCGGATGAATTGCCCTCTCAACAATCGTTCTCTCGCGGCGACATCTAACTCGGGGTGCCCAATCGCCAGACGCCTGCTCGACCTATAGAAAACACCATCATGTCTTCTTCCTCTTCCCATTTTCCCGAGCAAGACTGCTCCAACGCCTGCTTCCAATCGATTTCCATTTCGAATTCTGCACACAGTGCTGCCTTCATCTCAGTGGACACGCAACCGGCATTGACATTCCGAGACAGTAAGTACATTGCATTCATTTTCCCAGTTAACAGCGTGCTCAAGGCGGTCAGTAAGTTGGCATCTCTTTTGACTCCATTGGATGCTGCAATAGCTTCAAACTCTTCGAGCCAGGCTTCCAAATCTCCACCAGCAAATTGCGTTGGACAGGTCAACTTCATCCTGTATGGTCACGGCACCACTTTAGCAAGAACGAAGGAGCAAGAAAGACCAACCTTTAGTGCACGCGACCACGCTTTTCACAAGCTTCGCGCACGCGCGCATTTAGCGATCATCTTTCTTTCCCACAACACAACATACATGGGGGAATCACATGATGTCACTTTCTTGCCTCCTTGGCCCACATCTTTGGGGGCCTTGGCTGCCTGCCTGACCCCGTAGCTTTGCTTCCGTAGCTCGCATTCTGATCAGCCTGGAGTTGTTCTAAAGCTCCTGATTTGCTTGATCTCGGTTGCATTATTCGGCTTGGGGTTACTCCTGGATGCACCGACAAAGGTGTTTCTGTCTGATTTATTGGCCTATCGACGCATCCCTTTTCCGTACTCTTTGGCTCAGGCACGTTCCCGCTGGTTGCTCGAGTTCTGCTCTCCGCTCGTTTTGTTGGATTGGCGTTGCGCCGTCCGGTCACGTCCATGATATCTGCGCCCGTTTCGGTCCTCGCTCATTATAAGGGCTTTTCGGTTTCCTGCATGATCGCTGCCTCCAGAGCTATTGCAGTATGTCGGATTCTTCAATGATAATAAGCCAGTGGATTGTGTGCTGTTTGCCAGGAGAAGCAAAACTCAAATATAGAGCCAGTCTATAGCTGAGATAGTCAAAAGCTATCTGAATGAAAACTTTGTTCCATTACACAACATGGTTGCATGTGCAACAGTTGGTGTTACCGCAATGGTCTGAAGATAGAAAGGATTTATTGCTTGTCCAGAAAATGTTCTCCCTACTGTTCATACACTTCTCTACATGATTCACTGAGACCACCTAACGCCTAAGATATTGGGAGTGCGCATAAACGGTTCTCTGTTAGCTGTTCTAATAGTAGTCAACAGTATTAAATCGCACATTCTTCAACATTGTATTTTTCAGTAGTTGTGTGTGGGGAACAGTGAGGAGTTCTAGGTTATTCAGTTGCATGCAGAAGTTAGATGGTTCTCCAAGAAAAATGACCTCCGACATTTTGTTGCACTCTGAGACATCAACATCACATTCCTTTCTGGAACTGATTTTGAAAAACTATTACCAGCTACGCCAGATGTGTTTCATCTGGCTGATATTTTTGAAAGATTGAACTTATTAACTAAAACTCTTCAAGGCAATTTGAGTAAGCCCATTCCGTGCAAAGAAGCCACTATTGCTTTTCTTAAAAATCTGGAAGTGCATGCTCATAACACCGGACGTCGAAAAGTTTCAGTTTCTAATTCTTGCCATAGTCATGAAGTTGTAGGATGAAAACTTGATTGTTTCTGCCAGTCATATACAAAAACTTCAGAGAAAAGAGTTCGGTTTTATGGCCTGAATGACATAGAAGTCCCGATTTGGATTTTAGATCCATTTGATGTACAGTTCTGCGATGTTGGAATTATAATCCAGGAAAGTCCCATAGAGCTTCAAAGTGGCTAACTAGCAAGGTCCAAATTCAAGCAGTATAAATGACATTCTTGCATGAAGACTGATGCCTCTAACAGATATGCCAGAATATGGGGAATATCTGATATATATTTCTTTGCTTTATCATCCACATCCTTGGTTGAATGGAGATTCAGGAGAGTGGGTTCTCAGCAATAGGTAGAAACATACTGGACATCAAAAGAACAACAAGAGGAGACCTTCGGTTCTTGCTGTCAAGTCTGGAGGCGGACATAAGCAAGCTTTCTCAAATAGGCCACGTTCAAGACTCCTATTACTATCTCGAGAAACATAATGTTACGGTTACTACACCTAAAAGATGACATGCTTCAGGTTTAAATGCCAACATTTAATAAGTACCAGTTCAAATATTAATGATGTCTTTTATTTAACTACAAACGAGTGGCTTGATGTTGCCGCACAACAAATGCTATATTGAGGCTGTGAACGTCAAAAAATGGGTTCATACGGGAAAGAGCAGTGATACCAACATTAAATATTTAGCCACCATAACAAAATCTATCAATATGACCTTTGTGAATAACAGGTTTGCGTCTGCTAGGCGTTTTGCATTGTTTAAATTATGATGACCAAAGGTGGTGGGCATGCGAAATGGAAACCTTTAAAAGGGTGCCACGACAGAATAAAGATTGAGAATGCATGGGCTATGGTCTGCTTACCTGTACACAGAAAGGCTTCAATTGAGCATTGTTCAATTAGCTCTAGCACTAAATATGCCCAGGACTTTGGCCAGATGGAATTAAACTAATTTGTTTTTTTTATCTATCGCAGTAGAGAGCTTGATAACCCTGCGTGTGGAATCGTAATACCACTCGTTTGATTATGTGCAAGATGATAACATATCTATATGTGTACACTTTGTGCTCGACTCTTGTTTCATTCTCACATTTGCGCTTGCTCTGAAGTTATCCTTCCGTGAACATTTTAGATTTGTGGGAAGTCCTTCAGACACGTGAGTGGCTTCTATGCGCACATACGTATACATACGGGGGAAACCCCTTATTCGTGTCAACTGTGTGGCAAAAAGTTCAGCAACGCTAGTAATTATCGCATGCACACCAAAGTACATACACAAGAGATGCAGTTTCGGTGAGTCCCTATCTTTTTGATGCATTTCGCCAAACTGAAAGCTCGTTACTTGAAGCTCTTCGCTTTTAGCTCACGCTCCGTTGTCCCAAATGAAGTCACTAGTGTGTATTCCGGCAGACTTCCTAGACTATAGGTCCCATCGCCTTGTTTTCACCGTTACTAAGTACGCTGTGAAACTGTGTCATCCGGTGTCACTCGGCACCATATAATTACCGCTCCACGTCAATTGTAGACGCATCATTGCAATTCATTTTCTCTTCCGTTTGGGCATTTTATGCAATGGGTCCGGCCGAGATTTAGAAACCGTCAATTCATGGTTGATAGGTGAATACGCTGGTCATGCAGCTGACGTGACTGAGCTGCGACTGGTTGAGTTCAGTTGACACGTGGTATGGTCTTGGGAATAACGTCCGCAATCTCGCTTATCACTGGTGGGTGAGGGTTCGCAGCATCCTTTCCGAAGCAACAGTCAAGTGCGGCGTACCTCAAGGCTCCGTACTAGGGCCTCGCCTATTCCTAGTCATTATAAATGACCTCACAAACATGCTATCTTCAAATTTTTTACTATCCGCCGATGAGCTAAAGATATGGCGTGCTACCACTACATCGCAGAATCACATAATTCTACAAGATGATCTGCATAAACGCTATACGTGTTTCCCCGAGAATTTGCTGCATTGCAACACTGCCAAGTGTAAAGTTCTGAGCATGCGCCATCACGACTACCGGATAGGACCACACCACATATTCATCGGCCAACCTATAATGCTTCTTGGATAACCTCATCTGATACACATTCCGCTGTCTTTCACTCAACGCATCAAAGTGTAAATAGGTTCTTTTCTCGTTAGTCAAGAAAAACTGTTATCAACAGCTCCTGACGCACACCCCGCATCTTTGTATTGACAGTGTCAGTCTGAACTCCTGTACAGTGGTGAAATCTCCCGGAGTTACACTAAGTCGAGATCTCACGTTGTGGGATCACGTGAAGGAAACGTTCAATAAAGTCAGAAGAATAGCGTTCTACGTCTCCCGACTTAGGCCATCATCCGTGCCTCGTTACTTGATTCTACGGTTTGTCAACGCTTGCGTAATGCCGCACTTGACGTATTGCTCAGTGTGGTATTTCCGGGACTCTTAACCGGACAATACAAAGCGATCAACAGGACGCTGAAGCACCTTGCTCGATGCAGCAGAATGCCTATGCTAGTGTTCATCGACATCTTTGTGGGTAATTGTGTTCGCCGCTGCGAAAAACTGGCGTCCAAGATACTCACTGATGTCAGTCACCCCCTCCATTGTGCATTGTCGGAATGTATCTCGACTTCTTCGACCAGACAAAGGTACAAAGAAATTTATGCCCGCACACGGGCTTACGGTACGTCAGTTGTTCTCTATTTGTCGCGTGTTCTGAGGGCTCGAGATGTAGCCAAACAAGATCTTATTGCCAGACTGAATCGATGATATAACCACTTCCACATTTCTAACTTGGTGGCGCACCATGTACATTTGTCATATGTTTATTCTGTTATTTGTGTCCTTAGCGTGTTTGTGGTAGCTGAATATTCATTCTTCACGGGTACATAAAGCGCATTGTTGACTTGACTCGAAATTCGCATGAGTACGATCTCGGCGTGCTCGTGCAGGACGACCTTAGTTGTTTGAGACCGACCGAAAAGGCTTTAAAGAATGCAAACCAGCAGTTTCGTCTTCATCGTAGGGAGTTCGAAAATTTTTCCCCAAATGCTTGGCGAAAGCTTGAGACCGCTTGCTACATACGCCATCCAAGCGTTGCAACCTTGGTAGAAGCCCCACCTCATCGCGCTTGATACTGCACAACACAGGGCGACAAAGAACGACAGATGTTTGTGCCATCTTCTCTATTCACTCAGACAGAGAACTCTAAAAATGTACTGCACGTGTTGTCGGCGGCCACGGGGCGAGCTCATAATGGTGTATTAGATGCTAAGAAACCCCAACCATACATGCCACTATACGTTGAAACTCAGCTAAAGTACATCGCTGAGGGCCATCAGTTTAAGTTGGCCACGTAGTACAGCCAACTGGAAGGTCGACCAAATTTTTTCCCTCCGAGTGTAACAGCCGTGGAACACCTTCTCGATGCATGGAATTAATGCCCCTACCTTATTCTTATTCAAAAGCGCCTTACAGATACCCTGTCACATTTACACTATGCGGTATAGTCTATGACCATCAAACGATGAAATCAGTGCAGAACGAACAGTGTGCAATGTCATACTCCCATTAAAAGCCACGCAAGACTACTCATATCTGCTACTGAAACCCTCTTGTTGCCTTGTGTATCGTGCGCCTTCTCTTAACGACGCTGTATTTATCTTGTAATTTTCACCATAACCATCCTACGACAATTGTAAACCATTTGCTTTCTTACCCGTTGCCAACCATTGTTCCGTTGGCGTTTGGTTTACTCAAACCTACTATGGCTGAAGCACGGCCGATTCCTGCGAAATTGGGATATGTCATCGATTTTCCACACACGCACACACACGCTTGACGAGCGTGCTCCCGGTTCATTTATACTAATCTTCTCTATCTTCTCGCAGCGTAGTCACCGTACTCTCATTCGAACCGGATTTACCAGCTCTACACAGTGATCCATCATACGTGGAATTATCCTTTACCAATAAACTCCTAACCAGCACTAACGGACTTTGATGGTGCACGATTGAGCACAAGCGGATAAACTTCACTTTGTGTCCATTGCCCTTCTGTGTAACACCATTCGATGCAAAATTTTCCAGGCACTCCGAAAGCCTGAGCTTATTCTAATCCGGTGTTTCTCAACGCATATGTGAAAGAATTTGTGATCTCTCAATCTGTGTTCAACGTTGTGTTTCGACTCATTTACTAGGTCATAAACCAGCCGGGCCTAATATCGGTTGCTCAACTGACCTACACTGCAACGTGTGCTTACAAGGGATCACTTCTGACTCATTTTATCATTGGCGCGGGAACTTGCAGCAACTGCTCATCCGACAAACGCGTGATCTTAAAACTGCAAGTCCTCGGTGAACATGTCACACTTTAAGAGCGTGTGAGTTGTGCGTTAAATTGGTGAAAAGTGGGCTAGTTTTCAGCAGTTGCTTGAAAATATATCGCACCAAATGCCTTGGGACGGGGCCCAGTATGCAGTGCTATTCCAGTTGTTAGCTGTCTAATTGTGCTACTGAAGTAGTGTGAAAGGCTAATAGAAGCAGTCGTGCAACTAGTGGGTGCCAGAGTCAAACCTATGGGAAGAAGCGGACCTGCACTTTTATGTGAAAATAACACTCCGAACACCCAGGCGTCCAAACTTTACCCCAACGACTCAGTCCCAATCAGCACTAACTCCTTTCTCTTTCTCTCTCTCATGAATAAAAACATTGTCTGCAGCGTTCCTGCTTCAACTTCTGTACAGTCTGTTACACCTAGTAGTTTGTTCGCTATATAAGAGACCCTAAGCTGCGGTTAACCAGCCATAGTGAGGAACCAGGTAACTTACTCATCAGTTGCCGCCAAGCAAACACCGGAAATAGCACCGGTAACCTTGGTGGCCGGACTAGAGAAAACTAAAGTGTCACAGCACGATGGCCTCCATCAGTGCCGTTCACAAATTCACCAAACCCACCGGAAAGCAAGGCTCCAAAACCAGCAGCCCCAGGCGCAGCCGTGGTGTTCTTAAACCTTGTGTGCACTAATATCCCCGAATCCAAATTCAATACAATTAAGGGTAGGCTGACAGACGATCGAAACCAATCGAGTTCCATCTGTACGCCGATCGGTGTCCATGCTGATACCGCGACATTAAAACGTAGCTCGCGTCACCAAAATGCATTGCACTACGGTGAACCCCGATAACTTTGGGTAACATTAAACTCGGTTGATGAGACAGAGGCCGTTCTGCTGTCTGCGAATCGACTCCGCAGCGCCTCAAGTGGTGTGTGCATACTACTTAAATTACCGTGGAAAAACGTGCAGCGGATTCCACTAACGGAGAGAGGGACAGAAAAAGTTAAGATAGGAAAACTGTGATTGCTCAAGGGGTTCCTGAGCTTACTGATTACTCTTCCGACGACACGCAGGTACACGACCTAGAGAACTGGCACTACATTCGTGAGGCTTTTTCTCTCGAAACTGTCTTGGCCGCCTCATTGACGAGGATCCCCGTATCACCGAACTATAAGGGGTGGGGTCCCAGGCTGTTGAGGTTGGTGTTGCAATCAGAACTATGGGCACAAACTCTTCTGGAGAACTGGGCTAAATTTTGTAGCAGCTTGCCAACTGAAATACGTCTGAAAGTAGCAGGAACACCACCACCACATTCTAATGACAACTCAGTGGATGCGCAGCTCTCAACGAAAACACCCACTGTAGGACCTGATTCGGTGATGGTTTCAACCGTAACCATAACATCCGGAGGCACACAGTAGAGCACGAGTGAACAGCGGGATCCGGGGAATCTAATACTTGAATATATACCAAATTCGTCTCGAGAGTCTGCAACCCATCCAAAAACAATTAGCCGCCGACCTTACATCGGTCGGCGTAAACTCACTTGCTTCATCCATCACATCCAACACAATTTGGTCTCCGAGAAGCTCTCATGCATGTACACAAAGGCACAAGGTCTACTCAGTATATCAGCTGAAATAAGACTTCTAGACGCGTCAGCAGCTTGGGACCTCATCGCTATCACGGAACAATGGCTGCGCTCTGAGATAGCGGACGCCGAAAGCGCGCTAACAGGGAGATCCGTTGTCCGGAATGATCGAGCTAGCTAACGTGGTTGGGTAACCCTCTACTTTCGTAACAACCTGCAATGCGAACCCATACACGATTCGCAAACCGATGTACCTGATTCCATGTGCTGCAGCTTCCGGCTGAGAGGGAACAATCTTGGAGTGGTCGTTGTTGTTTAGCGCCCACCATCGTCTACATGTGAGATGGACTGCAAGTTGGCGGCTGCTTTGAGGCGGGTG